CCCCCGAGAGCTGGAACCGCAGCTCACACCCCCCGGGAACCCAGGGCAGGGCTGGGGGGAGAGCAGAGCGACCCGGGGAGGGCAGGGCACGGACCTGGGAGAGACCCCAAATCAGGGAGAGACCCCAAATCAGGGAGGGACCCCCGAGAGCTGCAACTGCAGCTCACACCCCCCGGGCACCCACGGTAACCCCGGGGGGAGAGCAGAGCGACCCGGGGAGGGCAGGGCACGGACCTGGGAGAGACCCCAAAAACAACAGGGAGGGACCCCAAATCAGGGAGGGACCCCCGAGAGCTGCAACCGCAGCTCACACCCCCCGGGGACCCACGGCAACCCCGGGGGGAGCACAGAGCGACCCGGGGAGGGGAGAGCACGGACCTGGGAGAGACCCCAAATCAGGGAGGGACCCCAAATCAGAGAGAGACCCCAAATCAGAGAGAGACCCCAAATCAGGGAGGGACCCCCGAGAGCTGGAACTGCAGCTCACACCCCCCGGGGACAAACGGTAACCCCGGGGGGAGCACAGAGCGACCCGGGGAGGGGAGAGCACGGACCTGGGAACCCAAAAATAATGGGGAGAGACCCCAAATCAGGGAGGGACCCCAAATCAGGGAGGGACCCCAAATCAGGGAGGGACCCCCGAGAGCTGGAACCGCAGCTCACACCCCCCGGGAACAAACGGTAACCCCGGGGGGAGCACAGAGCGACCCGGGGAGGGGAGAGCACGGACCTGGGAGAGACCCCAAATCAGGGAGAGACCCCAAATCAGAGAGAGACCCCAAATCAGGGAGGGACCCCCGAGAGCTGCAACCGCAGCTCACACCCCCCGGGCACCCACGGCAGGGCTGGGGGGAGCACAGAGCGACCCGGGGAGGGCAGGGCACGGACCTGGGAGAGACCCCAAATCAGGGAGAGACCCCAAATCAGGGAGGGATCCCAAAGTCAGGGAAGGACCCCCAAGAGTCAGGGAGAGACCCCAAATCAGGGTTTCCCCTCTGGAATTCCCCGTTTCCCCTCTGGAATTCCCTGTTCTCCTACCTGGAATTACCCAGAATTCCTTGTTTCCCCTCTGGAATTCCCTGTTTCCCCTCTGGAATTCCCTGTTTTCCTTCTGGAATTGCCCAGAATTCCCTGTT